ACGTCTGTGCAAAACAGATACTCCTGAGTCTATATTAAAATAAGAAAAATGTGGTGCTGTTATAATCAAACGAACTGCAAAAAGATTAGCAAACGAGTCATACCCAAAAGCAGATTTCGTCTAAATAGAAAGTATTATACACTTTGCGCCTAAAATATGTTCATGAGCCATATATTACAAATACTATGAGTGGGACTACCGTTTGAAAACCTCTGATCTAGGAATTTATCCTTCGACATTCTCGTATAGAGCCTTATGTAAGTATCTACCCCATTGAGTGATTCTGTAAATTAATACATAACAATAATAATAATACCTAGTTGGAACACAAATATCAGGAAGTCTTTATGAGGGTTTCGTCGTCCTGGAACTTCCTGCTAACATAAAAGGACTTAAGGTTCGGCTTTTTGAATCGATGATTCCTGCTGATATTAATTTTTASCTATTTACTAACCTGTATATTTTGTGCTGTTAGGGTAGGTACTAGGTAGTATAATATACTATATTATTGTAAATTACTCAAACAATTATCATTCAGAAGGTATAATATGTTAAAAATAAATTTTTAGTGCTCTACACATAATTTAAATATTTTATTATATTTTATAAGAATGAGATAAATTATAATAATATAATAATTCTGTCACATGCGTGTATAAACGTCATACTTGCTAAAGTAATTTTAGATCGGATTTTGTCGATAGATCATCGTCAATCGTTGTACCTTTAGCTTTTACATTGTTCAGTTTTTATTTTTTTTAGAACTCTCAAGAATGTATTGTTACCATAGTATTATATTACACACGTATATAACATGGGTAAACATAATTAAATCTGGTCATCGCATTTTTATTGATTTTTTTTTGCGATAGAACCCGCTGAGCGAGTGAATGGTTTGAGATATAGGGGTTATTATATTTTCTGATGATACTAAAATACAAAATGTGAACTACAAGAATATCTACTTAAAGCGTATGCTGTATACATGTAATACGTCTATAGAAAATATATGATTTTATCGATAACAACTATTTATAAATAATATACAAACACAAATTATTATAAAACCAGTATAAAAGTGTTTTAGTTTTTAATACATAATATCTTGAAAAGTTTATTAGGTTTATCTGTTGTTTTAACTTTAAATCTTTATCTACTTAACAAAAAATTCTTTAAACCTACTGTAAATGTAGGTACTCATTTACATATTAAATTTAAAAATAATAAACTTATAGTATAAATAAGTAAATATAGTTATTATTAAATAGAATACAGAAGRCATCTACACATAAAACCTATATAATATGTTTATAATAGGTACCTGTAATTTGTGATTTGCTTTATAAATAAAATTGAATCCAATTATACATAAAGTTTCTGTTTTTAATAGTTTTWAATCTTCTAATTAATATTTATTGTCGTGTTGGTAATTTATTTGTTTTTACTTTTCCTGGAAAATAACAAAATATTTAATTTACTTAAGGTTCCAAACATTTTAATTAATTTTATTGAATACATTGCTATTTTTAATTATTTATTTATATATTTATATTACATTGAAATTTTTATAATAAAATGTATGAAAAAGTTCTCATTCGATATAAAGTATAACCAGATTTTCAATTCGGCTTTTATTTATTACTAATAATTGTTTTTTACCTATAAAYTATAATAGTAATTATTTAATTCTAAATAAAAAAAACAAAAACCTATATTTAATAAGTTTGAATAAAATAAAATATTCATGTAGGTAACTTGTGTCTTATACTTATGATATGTTTATGTTAGATACCTAACTAATAAAAAATTAAGTTCATATAACTATTGAAAAGTTGTTCACTTATTCTCTTACATTTGACGAGTACAAAAAATGTATTATTATATAGTTTATGATGCATATTCATTAGGTCCAGTCGAGACACCGAGTAATGCCTATATAGTATATATACATCCCTAATCCATATTATAATATTATAGACATTATTTTTAATTCCTAAATTAAGTGTATAGGTAATATGAATTACTAACACATTACTATTTAAATGAGTAGGTACTATCTTTACTAATTGTACGAGTAAATTCGTATTACGCATTAAACAATGAATTTAAATTGTATTTAAATTACAAAAAACAACCAAACATTATTAGAAAATTGAATTTAAAATTAAAATGAAATAAATATTAGCTACTGTTTAGCGAAAAATTAATACATTCTAATTATTATGATACGAGAAATCAAATCAAATAAAAGTTTTTATTCTAGACTTTATTTCTTCCTTTTTATCGTGATATATGATTTTAATTGTATAGCTGTTACAGAGACACACTATAAAAATATTATAGCAAATAAACTTAAAGAGTGGAACCGAAGAATTAAACTCCAAAAAAAAAAAATAAGCCAGTAAGAAAATAATAATAATATGCCAGCACGATTATTATTTACAGCGTTTACTAACATGGAGCTAACTTAAAAACAGTTTATGATCCTGATTGTTGCTAACGTAACGCACATTGAATGATCGAATATAAAAAAGAAAATATATTACATTTTGCGAACTGGGCTGTGAAAAAATGCACTATAAAATTCATTTAAATCTCCAAATAACACACCAAAACATGCAATAAAATCCCGAAAATGACACAAAAAATAAATTGAAAATTAAACTTTGTTTTYMATAAAGTATATAATATAGGTACAGGAATACGAGAATAATAAATGACACAATTGAAAATCTGGATTTAAGTATATTTTATAACGTATTAACACATAAACTTATTTTATTTCATATTATGACATTACAAACATACAATTATCTTTTTATATGGATATAAATCTTTATTATCTTGTTTATTCCAATATAGCAATAATTCTTGTTCAGCACACATTTATATAGTGTGTTAAATTTAATAATTTAAAAATACAGAAATTACTATAAAAACGAAAAAATGACTTATTCGTAATCTAAAAATTATAATATTCTATATGATGCATGATTAGTACTAAGTGAAAAAAAGTTATTCTGAATAATATATATACATATGAAATAATCGTTATATTGTACGTAATAATGTGGTATGTGTACAGTAATACGAAAAATAAAAAAAACGGTCTCATTACAGGAAACGTGAAGATTTCATCAACCATTCATATTATACGAGTATAGGTATATTATTTTTCATGTTTAAAACAAACGCGTTTAATAAAACAAATTGTAATTTGTAATAATAAAACATAGAAATTATTATATWACATAGAAGTACTATCTTATTGTCTTATTGATTATAATTTTAATCAATAATATTATTACTACTTGTATTTTATAATATAATAAAAGCTTATAAATCGTCGACACTGGTGGTTGGGAGGGGGCGGGAGATTCGCCGGAAACGCGGCGACAGACGAGGACATAAAAAAAAGTAAAAATAATGGGGAAAAAAAAATCAATAAAAACAGAAATATTTTGAAAAACTGCATGATATATAATAATATACAATACACGAAACGTCGGCGAAACCGCCACGCACTAGCGGGGGAGATTCATATTTTCGTTTCCCTCGGTCACTAAAAACAAGGGACAGTAAAAATGCAACGGCGAGAACGGTTGTCCGCTCGCCGATTCCCCCTCGTCCATCCGTTGTCGAGGGCGGCGGTGACTATGGTCTACGCGACTACGATCGCCGCCGTCGCCGCCGCTGCATCTACCCCTCCATCACCCACACCTAACAACCACCGCTGCCACCTCCATCTGAACCACGACGACGACGACGACGACGACGATGACGATGACCACCCCTCGCCGCTCGACCAATAATCTTAATAACATAAAACTGGGCGGTATTCCACACACACGCACAAAGCGAACACCAAGTCATGTGTGTATATCATGTATAAAGTAAAAACAAAAAAAAAACAGTCGGCTGCGGGGTGACAAATACCGTCCACGCTGCGCAACTTATCCGTCTCTCCCGCACGCCGCACACTCTCACCCCACCTACCCATATAATACATATTTTTTATATATAATATATACGATATAAACTTGGACGACGACAAATATAATAACAATGTATACGTAACATATTATTATTATTATATCGACTGTATCTGAAATTGAATTTCGTATCGCGGCGCGTTTTCACCCCTCCCTCAGACCAGACACACACGCACCACCAGCACCTGTCCCACACAAGACAATCTTCTATACCCACCTGCACGTCTCGACGAACCAGGTCGCCGATCGTATATACCACGGTATACCAACACGACAAGACAACCAGATCTAAGAACGGACGACGTCGGCCGGACTATGTATCGCGCGGTGCGTTTCGCGCGTGACGTCACGCGCCGCGCGTCAATCGATAATATTCCGTTTCGACGGCAGCGATATTTATTTTTTTCTCCGTATTTTTCCCCATTTTTCTCCCCCAGTTTTTTTTTTTTTCATTTTTTACTTTTCCCTAGTTTTAGTTTTTTTCTCCCTTTGTCCATAACAGCATTACAGTATGAAATTCGCGAGCACACTGTCATACGACGCGACCGTGTTACTATATATATATATATATATATACATACGACACACGCGTACCATACGTAATTGGCGCAACCGCGCGCCCGTCTCCGTAATATAATAATAGTAATAGTTGCGCACGTGTGTGTGTGTGCGTGTGTGCGGTACGATGGTACGGCGCGTCGCCGATATGGACGGCGGAGACGTCATCGTCGGACGGCCGTCCGCCACCGCCGCCGCCAAAGTCGCCACCGCGTTGTCATCACTGCCGCCGCCCGTCKCAACCCCGTGGCTAACGGAGGCACCGCCACCGCSGCMGCACCGCCATCGTTTCCAACCGCGGCACCCCGACGACGGGCGGCCGCGACGACTGCCCTCGAGCGCGCGTCGTATATTATATTATTATTATTTTATGATTCACCACCGACGCGCGCGACGCGTTACTAGTGTTACTACGTCCAGTCGATACGTGTGTGCCACCGTCGGCGGAACGTTGACGTGGTGGCGAACGATATAATCATCGACGTCGTTGCACTTGCACGTTAGTAATTATTATAAAAACAAATTACCATGTTGACTTTTTTTTGAATTTTTTTTTTTTTTTTTAACGTTATTACACCATCATTTGCCATATAAAACACGCGAACCACGTGCATGATAAAGACTAACACGTGCAAAATAATTTTGTAAACCACGGTGTATGGGCACCTATTGAGAGTTGTAATGGGATCGTGATTTTCAAGAACATTAAAAAAACACAGTTTACTATAATGAATGAATACATGAACTATTACGAATGCCCCATTTGCTTACACCACCGYCGTAGCCAGGTGTCATTTCGYTTTTTCGATTGTCACGTCACTGCTGCCGTCGTGTCCAGTAAGTATAGCTATTAGTAGTTACTCATAAATACACAAAATATTCGTTACTTAGCTTATTAAAGTAGGCATAAATTCTTTTTTTGAAAACTCCATTTACATCATATTGCATTGCTGTTAATTTTATTTTGTTCAAATATGCACAACTTTTAAATTTGATTAAACTATACGCGTCTTAGAAAATTTAAATGTTCGCGGCCCGTGGGTCTCCACAATTTTTTACTCGATATTCGTTAGATTAATATATAATACATAATGTATCTATAATAAAAGTATGATGTGTGTGTAGCGAAAACGTGCACTTTCAAAAGTTCGTTAAACACACATTCACACTCACGCATCGTCAAAAGACACGTGTAACTGACTTTAGTGCACAATAATATTATTTAATATGATACTAACAATATTACTAACAATATTACTAACAATATAATGTATATAATGTTAAGTACCTGTGTAGTATAAAAGACGTATACTTACCTTTGTTTCTCGTATCAAGTTACAAAATTGAATATTTACATAATAACTATAGTTATTATTAAGTGCATTTTAATTTTTACTTTAATGTAGACTCTTCTTTAATATTTTCCTTACAAAATTGTTTTAGTCCATTACAAATAAATACGTATTCTAATTTTAACTTTATTCTATCAAATCTTCATGGCATTTTTTACAAATATTTGTTTTATTAAATTTAATTGTTTTAACTTATAAAATATAAACAACATTTAAACGTAAATATTTATTTTTTCGCATTAGAAACCTACTGTATAGATATTATATAGTATTTACACATAACTCTACACAGCAGTAATTACTTTAAAAATTGGAATGGTTGAACATTGTTGAATAATAGTGTAATTGACGGGTAGTTAATACATTTTTAATTAAAAGTCTGCATGTATGTTAAAATGAGTAATTCTTCAGTCTCKGTTTGACAATGGGTTTCTACCCAAATTAATTGCTTCTGATAATTGTTTATTCAAACTATCATTTTGTGAAAACTATTCCATAAATTCTATGAATTAAAACCAACGTGGTTGCCTAACTGTTATCTTTTTTTTTACGTGTACTTAATACTTTTTAATAATATTGAAGAAGAATGAAGATACTCACATAGTTACATGAATAGGTCTTATTATTATAATTTCTGTAATTAATAGTTAATTTGTTAATCTTGATTACCTAACTTAGTATTTGTAAATCAAAAAGCGAAGATTTTTCTAATAACATCGGTTGAACTCGCAATCAGTAAACTGAATGTAGTCAAGTTAACAAAAATAAAATGTGTRTTAATTAATTTATGCATTTTATTTTGGGTTATGAGTATGAAATTATATAACAATTTTGTTTTTGGTATGTTTGACAAAATCATCACCATAGATTCAACACTGATTTCATAACTGATTCGTAATTATCGGTTCACGATTAAGATTTTCTTTGTAGTTTGTAAATTATAATGATAATTTATAATAATAATATTATATTATATTTATATATTATTATATTCATAATATTATATTAATATAAAAATATGATATTATATTATCCCTAAAGGCTGTAGATTATAAATTATAATAATACCATTATCCTAAGGATTTAATAAATATAAAATTTTTATTTTACTTAAATATAAATAGGAATACTATATAAGGTTTTAACTTTTAACTCATAAATTACCTATTATAAAATTATAATAGGGACACTGGTTGTAACTATATCTAATTAGTAAGTATAAAATATTTAATAAACGTGAATTAAGAAATTGATATAGGTGATTAATATGTTAGAGACTATTTAAGTATGTTTATAGGAATTTTATGTAATTTGTATAATGTACTAAGTATGTAAAAAATATTTCAATAAAATTTCTACACTAAATTAAAATTGAAATTAAGTATTTTATATTTTTTTTCTTATAAAGGAAATATACTGTGATTATACTACAGACTGTACAGGTCTGTGGGTGTGAATTTTCAATATTTCTCTTTATGTATAAAATGCTAGTGACACGACTACGTATCATACTACAAAAATACAAATACAATAAGATATATTTACTTAATATTCTGTCATAGGAAAACTAAATATTTTTGAATTAATAGCTGTTAAAAAATTATGTATTTTATTAACCAAGTTAAGTTAGGTATTTATATTTCTTTACAAAGATTCTCTATGAAGCCTTTTATTAAAATTATAGAATTATATTTTATTATACATATTATACGTTCAAAAGTGTAAAATTATTATAATAAGCTGATATTTACATCAGATGACACATGACAACGTTTATTGAGGGGCTTGAAAAGTTTTCAAGAGGCTAAGCCCCCTATATCGTGTACCTACGTAATATATTGCATTTAAAATAATCTAATTTTGTATAAACTGATAAATTGATAATTTTCTTTTCTATTTTTTTCTTTTTTCATTCAACGAGCTCTATAAATTTAGATTCTAATCAAAAATTAATATTTATTTCTTAATTATTTTTGTATGATGTCTTTTAAGTTTAAAATACTTTAAACACCAATTATTACTATARTTTTCATGCATGTGATTGTGTAATATTAATAAAGTGATATGTGATTAATTTATTTTAATTTTTAATATTTTGAATTGAATATTTAATTCTACATCAGTATATATGTTTAAGTAATGTATTTTACAAAGTTCAATGACTACAAGGAACAAATAAAGTTAATTACGCGTAAATCGTTTCTCATTCCGTTGTTTATAGACTTATAGTAGGTAATACTGGTAGTAGGTATAATAAGATATGACTACACATGGACGCGTATGTTTACATTTAAAAGCTCTTTCAACTTCAATTGTACCTATATTTACTAAATTATTTTTTTTATTTAAAACTATAAATATGAAAAAAATATAAATTTTAATAATTTTACAGTCTGCAGTAGTGAACAGTGTTGAGTCCAGATAATAAAAAAATTATCTAGATAAAATACTTATGATTTAATAAAAAATATCTAGATACAGATAAAGATAAATTTATTACATTATTATCTAGATAATGAAATAGATWAATTACTTTTTTTGCATATCAATAATTAAGAATATACGTATATTATAACTTATAAGTGAATTTGATAATCCTATGAAATACTTTTTCATACCTTAAATTAAATCTTAATGAYATTTAGGCTGTACAATTTATAAAAATATTTTAACATTAAAAGTAATTAATATACCTAATAAACTTTATTAAATGATAAATATTGATAATTGTTAACAAAAACATAGGTAAATGTAATGATTATGTAATAAAATAATATAAATATCAATTATTAGTTCGGCAGCATAATAACAGTTCAAGAGTTTTATCATTGAGGCGGTTTCGTCTGGCCGTAAATATTAAATACTGTAATGTAATGTAATGCTGTAATGTTGTCAAATAACCGAAAATGAACACACTAATACACTAGTACAACACTACTACTATTATACCATTGGTTATAATTTACAAATACTTTTTATAATCAATTATATTACTTCTAATATATAACCACAGAATAACCAGAATGGACACTCGCTGAGCACTCAAAAATCGGGAACATACTATTCAATTTGGTGGAATATCAGTGTATCCATGTATATTGCAATTTACGACTTTATTACTAATTATTAGGCTAAAGGTAATTGTTCCTGTTCGGGGAATAACAGCCACGCTAGAAACAAAGAATAATGAGAATTATCTTTCTACTGGCAGCACTGATATTCCACCAGGTGTTGCAAATCTGTACCCCATAAGAACCCATGTTAAACTGAAAAAGTGTCTCTTCTGGTTATTCTGTGATATAACTATATAAGTAAACTCGTATTTATCATCGATAAGAATGCGTTGTCAATAAAACCTATATTTAGAGATTTCGTTGGAAAATTTTCATTTATATATAATATGTTTTTTTCTTCAAATTACATTCATGAGTATTATTATAGAATGCTCTTCAGGATTATAGTTTTATTAATTTAATTAATTTAATATTTAAGAACAATTTAAAATATTGTTAATGGATGTATAAATTTTTGCGTATCTGATCAAATATTTATCGATAGATAAATTTATCTAGATAATTTATCTAGATAGTCTCAACACTGGTAGTGAATTCCAAATATATTTTTATATGTTTAAAGGTATTCTATAATGAGTATAATGCGATATGAAAAATGAGACATAGGATTTTAGACGTTTTCTTTTACAAACTCTGCAATTGATYTAATGAAGCGATAAGAATTCTAAAAATAGATTTTAATTTATCGTCAAGACTAGTTGAGTATGTACATTTTATAGTACGAAAACTCCCTAARACAGGAGTTTTCAAAATCCAACCTCTACAAGGATTAAAAGTGGTAAAAATTTAAAAAAAATCACAATAATTCCAGAACCACTGAAGCTATGGGTATGAAATTTAGTCAGTAAGTTCATTTTATAATGCGAAAAAACCCTAAAACGGATTTTTCAACACCTACAGGGGTTAAGAAGCATTATATAATATAAAGAAAAAAATTTGTTCGTTTGATCGGTTTAATTTCTGATAGGTATCCCTTAATTTTTTATTGAAAATTTGAGATTTTTATAGAAATAATACATAATATAATAATAATAATACATATATTTTTGTTTATTATATGATTGCTATTGGTTATACAATTTAGTATGGATGAATAAGAAATTAGTAACTTATTATTAGATAGGTACCAATTTTAAAAATTGTTATCACCTTTACAAAATACATTTTTTAAATATTATGATTGAATATACTTTTAGTCATTATTTTAAATAACTGGGTTAAAAATCATTAAGGAGATTAAGATAGAGTAAATCCACAAGAATTTGTCTCGGGAAGTTTTGATCATGACTCCGGGTATAAACAAAGTRTTAAACAAACATTTTGTATCATATAGAGTCGATATTTCTAACGGGGCCACTAAGTGCATGGGGATCAGTTAGTAATTAAAATATAATACATAGTATATTAATAAATCTACTTAGTTATCCTATTCATAATAATATGGTGAAAATAGTATATACATTTSATACCATACGGCAAGGCATAAGTTGTGGTTTTTTTTTATCCAAAATAAAATTATGTTTGAAGTGCTTATATTTTATAATACCAACAATAACAAAATATAATTAATATATATCATGTTTTCCTAAGACTCAAACAGAAGTGGTAGGTAGTCAAAGCTATAAAAATCGTGAAATTTTTAACTGTTAATACTTTTTAGGTCATCTAAATAAATTTATCTACTTAAACATGAATAGTGTAAATAGCTGCAAAATAAATTCTTAAAACATTATTGTGTTGCCATATTTTATAAATTAATTTACACAATATTCAATAGCTATAGTAATAATATTTTTTTTTTTTTTTTTGTTATAGTTCACCTACGATATTAACAAAGAAATACTGATATGCAGACAATCGTTAAAGCAGATAACAAAATGGATTTTCCTTTGAATTGGACTGATATATTACTAAAATCAATATCCGGTAAGACAAACTATACAATAGATGTAAAAATAGGAACTAAACGTATTGCTACAAACCATGAACTAAGAGACATAACAAAAAAACGACGTAAACAATCAAATCCTACAAGGATATCTTCTAATGAAGAAAATACAAAAAATGGAAGTGACAAAAAAATATTATTTTCTAACAGAAACAAAACCGAATTGAATAAGAATGAAGAAGTGGCAGATTTGAAATTAACTTGTCCCCAAAATCCTTCGGCTTCTTTGCCTCTGAATCTGACTATATCTGAAAACCAAAAACTTTCACCGAATGTGGAACAAAAAATTCACCTTTCTAATGACATACAACTCCAAAAYGACTCATCTATTGAAATTTCTAATGACCTAAGTTCTTCTTATCAGACTTTTATGAAAGGTATGYCAAATATTGATAAGAAATACAACTATTCGAATGAATCTACAACTTGTATGATGTCGTTTTCTAAAAACCAACCATGCACCTCAGGCACGAATGTTGGGTCGACCTCTATTCAAATATTCAATCCAGAAGCATTTTGTGATCAATGTAACAAAGAATTTTGTAACAAATATTTTTTAAAAACTCACAAGGCTAATAAACATGGTGTTTTCAGTGACAACCATTTAAATGGTTCCAGTTTAGATCAGTCAGATAGAATTAAAATATCAACATTCCCCATGACTTGCGATTTTTCTTCAAACATTAATGATAATTTTACTGGCGCTTCAACATCATCATTGTTTAAAAGTCCAGTATTGTTTTCTCATTCATCGGCAAATACAAACACATATGTATCAAAAAATATGATTAACAACCAAACACGAGCGTTTTGTAGTATATGTCAGAAAGAGTTTTGTAATAAATATTTTGTTAGGAGACATAAAGCTAAAATTCACGGAATAACTGACGATGGTGACTATAAGATAAATGATGATGTCCCATTAAACTTCAAAACAAATKTACAGATAAAAAATGAATTTTTAGATTTTGTTGTCTCCGATTCATGTGAAAAAGCTGTTAAAACAATATCGCCTTCTCTTCACGCCAACGAATCTATAACTGAAATTTCAAAAACACATGAAAAATTATTCTTAAAAGACACTCAAGAATTAGTAGATAACGAAGAAGAACTTGTAATGAAATATACTACAGATGAAACCACATACAATAACATTAAAGATGAGAATACAGATGATGAGCGAAATTTAAACTACATCAATAAATTAAATAATGAATCATGCGATGTAAACGTTCTTCAAAGTATTGAACTTAAAAGTAATTCAAATCATATTATAAATACGCATAATGAAAAGGCAGTTATTCAAAATGATTTTTTCCAACCAAACACTAAAGCCAATCAGCCTCATACTGAATTTAAGACTAACTTAAATACCCCTCTTAACTTGATGACAAATGATATTGTAAATGGTAATTCGATGAACAACGATATCGGAAAAAAAATCAACATCTTAAATGATGACCTTCCAGCTACCATAACAATTGTTGAAAATGAAAATAAAATTGATAAAAATATTGAAACAGATGAATCTAAAATTGAATTGGTGAGCAAAAGCAAGCTAATTACATTAAACAATTTGTTTTTTAAATTGAATGGAAATTCGTTGGAGAATATGTCAACATGTTATGTATGCAACATGCAAATAAATGGATCATTAAAAGCGCATATTTTCAATGAACATGAAAACATCGTTCATGAACTAATGAATGAAACTTTGGAGTCTAATGAAAATACACCAATTGAACATTCATGTCATGAATGTCATCAAATATTTAATTCTTATGTGTTGTTGAAAGAACATGTCGAGCAAGGCGAGTGTAATACCAAAGGCATGGGTAGAGCGTCGGCTAGTAGCAAAAATTCCGCAGAAAACGAGGAATACATTAACCACCATACTAAAGATTTGAATGAAAGAAAGCAGACTTCCATGTTAAGCAGTTTTTGCAAAATATGTAACAAAGAATTGTGTAATAAGTATTTTATGAAAACTCATATGCAACGGATGCATGGTATTTCGATTCAAAATGGTAATCATATTGGGGGAGTAGTGTGTGATATATGTAACAAAGAACTTTGCAGTAAATATTTTCTACGAGTACACAAACAGAACTCTCATGGTATACTTGAAAATGGGTCTTGCCAAAAATACTGGGCAGATTCGATGACTGAGAACGGACAATTGTCCGACGAACCTGATAACGGTCATAGGTATTACAAGMACTATACCGAAGTGTGCAATATATGTCTTAGACGATTCAGAAGTTCAAAGTGGTTGAGTGCTCATTTATTAAATGATCATGGCTCTGAGGGAAAAACCCAATGGAAGCACATTCAGAATCATATAGAAGAAGAAAAACAAAATTTGCAATCTAACAGCGAGTTGAATGCTAGCTTAAGAGCAACTGGAAGTCCTAAACAAAATCCAGCTGAGGAACAAAATATAATATGTGATGATACCAAAGAGTATCGTTGTTCATACTGTTCGTTTACCACGTCCATTTTGTCGTTTCTTTTCGTACATGAAAAGTTTCATCTCACCGAAAATAAAATCACAAAGGACATGCCATTAACATGTCCCACCTGCAGCGTGGCGTTTCGAAATAAGACACAACTGGAAAATCATTTTACACATTGCCATTTCAACTCCGATGCAAAGAAGTTACCCGTTTCGTACGCTTTGTTACATTCATCYGACAACACGCAAGTCACACATAACATAAATGAAGATTCGTCAGCAGATAAGTCATTGGACAATAATGGAAATGACGTATTCACCGACAAACTTGGAACATCTATCAAGCCGCATCGAACAGAAAACGTATCGCCGTCTATAGGAAAAAAACACCATATTGCTGAATCAAATCACGAGCCGTTTATAATGCAGTCGTTTTTTCTTGAAAACTGTTCAGTATCTCCATCGGTCAAGAAGGAACTGAATGGTCGCAGTGATTCGTTTCATTCGTCTCTAGTCTACTTACCAGTCAAGGAAAAGTTAACATCAACTGTAAATGTTTTCTTCAAGCTAACTCCTACATAATTATCTGCATTTTGAAGGTTATGTGTATGTGAATTTAATATATTMTATAGCTCGTGACATACGATTGAGCAAACTAAATTAAACATATTAAATAATATTATAGTTTCTATGGTATAATATGATATTATAATATACATTCACAGAATTAAAATAAGACTGAACTACATATTTTATGGGTGCTGGAATGAAATTTGGTGATATTGATAATACTAAAGTTCCTAATTTAGCCTTGAATAAAATATTATGTCATAATATAACATTGGTAGTTTTGTTTACATTCCAATTCGTAAATTCCAACTACTTCGGGAATCCATATGCACCAAATTCAAAGTTGTAAGCTTAATTAAAACATATTATGTAATAATATGATAATCAAAGTTTAAAAAATGATATCTAAATTTAGATATTTTTAAATCTTCGACGAGTAAAATAATATTCACTATTATATTACAAACACAGGGCGATTCACTAAAAATACAAATTTTTGTATTTATTACAAACTATGTCAGATAATTTTGTAAATTAATGAAATTAAAATATTTTAGTTTTGGAAACTTTCACATAGGTACACAATTAAAAACCTCACCATAGAATGAAAATTATACCTGTTTGAATTATATAATATTGTATTGAACAATAGGTATCAACAACACTATTTTTTATAGATTATTATAGATTACATCAATTAACTTTATTTTTTAGATTATTTTAAATTAATTATTTTCATGATTATTAATTTAATTTTGATTGATCTTGTTTTTAAAATATTAACATCTAAAATTCTAAAAGAAATTTTCTTTTTCTATAGAAAAATAGAAGCCARCGATTTCTAGACTATTATAACTTAAATTTAAAACTTCATAATTATTAAAATCTTAAGCACTATTAATTTAAACAAATGCATTATAACTTCTATTAAAGTTTAAAACAAAAAACAACTTGAATTCGTAAACTTTATTTTTAACCTTTCAGTATTATGTAGKGTTGTCATTKTCTTAGTTTATAATAAGTTATAAAGTATAGGGACTTTTTAATAAAATATTAAATGTTATTGTAGTTAAAGTTTCCAAAAAAAATATTTAATATTTTCAACTTTACAGAAATATCCCTTGTCACATATGATAAGAATCACTCTTTAGCTTAAATGGTTTATAGCGTATATATATTATATATTATATAGGTTTCATAAATATAACCTAATTGTTTTAACTTATTTATTATAGTTCAGTTCAGTTACCTATATTTTAAAAGTACCCATTCAAACGTAATAATGGTAATGGGTTTTTAAATCAGATAATCAAAAATTGTTTTAAGCACTGCCTCGACAGTAAGGTCATTGGCTTGATAATCAAAATTATACATTAAACTAGTTCAATTTTATAATCAAAAAATAATAATTTCGTTATTATGTTTTACAGTTAATATTTATTAAAGTTTTAGTTGTACAACCTCGATGCGCAATTGTTTATTTTTTTTTATTTGTAGACAATATTATTATTATCGCTAAAATAATATATATCATGTAGATATATCAAAGAAAGTAAATAAAATCAGAAACAAAATTATAATTTCAACATGATTAATGAAATTAGATCAATCGTTATTGAATGCACTCATCATTTTAATTAGGTAGTCTAGGGCTCGRCTTTATATGCACTATAAAATAACTACTTATGTTTGTATTCCGTTAACAAGCTTTTAAAAATTAATAATATAAAAATCAAATATAATTGTTATTATATATTTATTTATTTTTTAAATAATTTGTATAAAKTATTACTTATAAGACGAAATGTTATATTATTTCAAATCAAAAGCAATAGAATATTATTAGTTATTATTTGTAAAATCGTTTATATCATATTTTTATTTCATCTTAATATAAAAATAATTAAATAAAAAATACGTAGAGAGGTAATACAATTTTATTTTTATTTTTTGTATAAAAATGAATAAATACTAACCTAAAGCAATAAAGTTTCATTATACAACATTTTTTTTTCTTAATACTCGGTTTATACATTTTGGTACTTAGAAAAACTTCTTTCTACGTCCACGATGTTATACAATGGTCGATGACAATATAGATAATGCGCCACTATAGACACCTATCGAAGACGTAGTGGATCGATTTAATAACATTTTTATAGGTATACAGGGTGATTCTATTAAGTGGGTACAGTAATTATCTCGAAAAGTATTTACTTTTTTCAAAATATTTTTTTACATGGTTTCAAGTTGTTAAAAAATCAACGTTTTTATTAAAAATTTGTATATCCTTATCATTTTTTAAGTTTTTTACTTTTTTGAATGACAATATAGAGTTTTAATTTCATATTCCAACGCAGAATATTTTTCTAAGTATTTTGATTCATAAAAATCGAATTWAGGACGAGTAGTTTTTGAGTTATAAGTATTTAAAGTTTTGATTGTAGCGTGGAGTGGTACGGGGTCACCCCGCAAAATGTTTGTCCACTACACCGCTTGTCAAAACTTTAAATACATATAACTCATAAACTACTCGTCCTAAATTCGATTTTTATGAATCAAAATACTTAGAAAAATATTCTGYWTTKRAATATGAAATTAAAACTCTATGTTGTCATTCAAAAAAGTAAAAAACTTAAAAAATTATAAGGATAAAAAATATTTAAAAATATAAATTTTTAATAAAAACGTTGGTTTTTTAACAACTTGAAACCATGTAAAAAAATATTTTGAAATAAGTAAATACTTTTTGAGATAATTAGTGTACTCACTTAAAAGAATCACCTGTATAGTGTATGTCTGTATATCCCTATTCTTATGTTAGTTTATTTCGATAAGACTAAGAAAATATTATAGGTTTTAAAAAATCCTTGAATATGATTTTATACGACGATTTTATAATTTTTGTAATTTTTTTTTGATAAGTAAGTTGTAAATATACTTTGAAATGTWGTTTATAAACTCAATATACATTATATTCAAAATACTAAAAATATATTCCTACTTAAAAACCACAAATATTATGTAATAATATGCTTTATACAATATCAAAAAAATATGAATATGCATAGAACGTAAAATATAAATAAAATATTTATAAATATTCTAATAGTTATTCAAATACACACTGCAATTTTTTCAGATTAAAATTAAAATTTCCATCAAATCTAGTTACTCTTTAGACTTAAGTACTAGAAAAACAATAATATGCAAAATAATAAATGTAATACTACATATAAACTCGAGCCCTAGTAATTATTGCCTACGTACCAATTACTTTCTTATAGTTTATCATACTTTTCTCAGTATTTAGGTATTAGGTAGGTACCTACTGATACGGCAATTGACACAATACATCAAATTACTTTTAAATGCAATATAAGAATTTTGATTGAATATTTTGTGTATAATATAATACATTTTAGAAATAGTTTACACTGGTTTATTGGCATGTATTTATACAATTGTTTTTATTTTTTTTATTTTACAGTTTCGCCTATTACTTCTGTGATTACATTTACATATTATAGTAAAAACAACCGTAGGTATTGGTTATGTGTTTTTCTTAGAAATTTCATGAATCCGACAAGATAATTTCAAAGTTAAAGCTATACTCTGCAGCAAACTAAAATAAATTAAATTGTAGTACAGAGAATATTATTATTTTATGTTTAGTTTTAGATGACTACCTAATAACTATCAAAACAATACTTTTTTTATTACCTATTAGCAAATACATTATGTTATACTATTGAGGGATATTTTATAATTATTATACTTCAAGCAATAGTTTTATTTTTTTATAAGCAACGTTCTGAATTATTCTTTCATATCAAAGAACGATGCGCTTATACCTTACATAAAGTTCGAATTTATAATAAACATTTTAAGTCAGTAAATTATCATTATTATTGGGTTTATAAATTATTCAAGAAACAATTTTACTTTCATTATTTATAATTTGCTTTGATGTCACAATATTTTAGTTATTATTATCGATATAGTTAAAAATRTAATATTAGCGTAATATTTTCTTGTTCTCAGACTTATATAATAGTGAAAATATCATTCGTTTATTTGAGTGTTGGAAAGAATGAAATTTTGTCTTTGATTTTAATCKTCAAGCTAATTATCATTATGATTACACTTTAAAATAATTTAAAACATACATTTATATTTTTTATATGTAAAAAAATAAATATATTCTTCTTGGTCGTTTAAATGCATTTCTGACTTTTTCAAAGTATTCAACCATAAACAGTGAATGTGACTTTAACCGTTCCAGAACATTCAGTTTGTCAGAGATTTTCTATATAGTTGACATAACCTAACCAAAGAATATATATAATTTGTACTTAACTAATTGTTTGATTGAATTATTTTGGGACTAATGTAGAAGTCAAATAAAATTGTTGTACTAAGAGTATATTTTTTTTATAACATCGAAAATATTGATGCGAACACACCGTTATCTTACCTTAAATATTGAATACACATAAACAGACCTATATTTAAAAATATTTTTACCCTATTTATTTACTCACAGGCATGAACGTCATATTGAACTTTATATTTGTGTATGAGTGACCACTATAACCACGCTGCAAATACTTAATAAATGAATATAGCCGACTAACACTACGCAGTCCTAAATCAAATGTTATGTTTTTTATATTTTCGATCTTATATAATTTATTAAATATGTATATATTAGGTTTAAAATGTATAAAAAAAATAACAAAATATCACGTAATCAAATGTGTAATAAATAATATATTGGTAAATCTCACACTGGGAGGAAGTTGTAACCTTCCCAATTTTTCTTATTTTCTAAATTATGAAATTTTAATTACACTTAATTCATTTATAAATTTTAATGAACACTCAACCCAAATTCAATAATTTCACGAATATAAACTTTAATAAACGTTATTTGAATATTTTAAAACGAAAATGATTGTACTTTACACCCTAAAGGRCCTAAAGTGTTATAACGTTTTGATTCATATCTGAACTTGTGAAATACTTTCACTTCATGTAAAAAAAAATAAAAAGCTTTTCAATATAATATGTTGATCAGACATAAATTCACTCAAGTGTACTAATCCAATACWGSAGTATTCTATTTTTTATAATTATTAAAGTACCTACTCTTGAATATTACAGGTTATGATATAAAGTTTATATTTATATAATGTTTTCATTGTTCAAATCATTTATAGATTGTGGAATAAAGAATCCTGAAATCATATAATAATTACCTAGATAATATATGATAATTAATACATAATTAATGTTGATGATACTACAATAGTATTGTACGTAAATTAGTATTCTAATCAGATATAAACATGTAATGCGCATATATGTTAAGATTATTGTATATTTATAAATTTATTTGATGTTTTATTTATATTTATAGAAAT